ACCCCTTGATAGGCGACAAGCCTCTGGGTCATCCTAATAAAGATATTATTATTATTATTATTATACGGGCAAAATAACACGTTAAAGGGGAAGTGCATCGATTTTTCAAGTAGGGCTCAGGCTGAGTCAGATGAAAGACAATAATTATTGGATATCCGTTCCGATGGTATATCTCTCGCTTGCGTACGGCAAGGGAAACTTGCCATATCGCCGATTTCCCGATCCCGTTTCCATGGCGACTACAGGTGATGACGCACATTCTGCTTAGCTCCGTGAGAGAGAAGGTCGATCACTGCAGAATTGTTTCATTTTCAGTTGTCTTCTTGTATTCACGAAGTGAAAGAAGTACTGTGTTCAATGCTGTTACTAGTGTTAGTGCCGTGAACTGTTTATTAGTAGTCCTCTCCGTTGTGTACTGGGACGTGACACCGACAGGGGAAAGCTGGAGTGCGGAGACGTTAGCTGGCAAGCGAAAATCGTGACGAACCACGTGCTGAAATCTTGGTTGGGACAAATCAAACGTTCAGCATTTACCTCAACCAAGGACCATGCCGTTTGCTCTTTCCACTTCCTGAAGATGGATGCGCTGCCTGCTGGAGACTCTCCTATCTCTCGTAACATCTTCTGAAGCCAGGTGAGACGACGAGTAGCGGAGATTAGCGAACGAAATAATGTCGTATGTTTTGAAATTTTTGCTGAACATATCTCAGGAGAGATGGCATGTATGTCACTTAGTCCATGTGAACTCAATCAGCCCATGTGAACTCAATCAGCCCATGAACTTACCCATGAACAAATGCTTTCCTTGCAGACGTGCATGAGTCTATCCAATCTTCACGTAGAGATCATTCCATGCCCTCAGTGAATGGCCCATTTATATATTATTTGTCCATACACTTCATCTGCATGTTGTCTCTATGGAAAAGGGTATTGTTCATTTCATATGAAGAAGTTCGGGCAATAGATGCTTTCCTCTGGTATAATTCTGTTGACCTGATGTTCTTTCTAGCTTCATGGGTAGCTTACAAAATATAGGTGAGGTACCATCACCATCATGTTTACATGAGGATCAAACACTGCACCGTTCTTTGTTGTGACATGACGTAAGTTATTGTAAGTGCTCGCAGACTCCATACGTTCCAGCAACACCTAGCATGGTTTCCCTTGAACGTTGTGGGTGAACAAATTCCTGTCCAACATATTTATACAGACATACCAGCACACACCATGCACCATACACCATACACACACTTGCCCTGCCCTGTCAAGTCACTGCCACGTGGGCCCGGAGGGGCAGTGGAGAGAGAATGGGAGAACGCCGCCCCATGGCACCCGGGACACAAAAACAAGAGTTTGTCTATGTAGGGAGCAACACACATACATACATACACCACACACACACACACACACACACACACACACACACACACACACACACACACACAAAATGAGAGTTCGGGTCATCTGCCACGAGACTGATGTACGGCCGCGGAGAGCTTCAGCAGCGGTGTCTATTCCTGCCCTGGACCGAACGGAAGCAGCGGTCGCAGGACACACAGTATTCACCACAACACGGCTCCACTGTCGTTGGGGGCTGAGCCACACACTTGTGACGGGCAAGAACGCCATAGCTAAGAAAGCAACGGCCACAGCGATCACACTGGCATGCTCCACGCTGCTCCTGCACACACTCTCTCTCGCTCACACACACACACACACACACACACACACACACACACACACACACACACACACACACACACACACACATACACACAACACACACACACACACACACACGCGTGCGCACATACTGCAAGAAAGAAAGAGAGCATGAGTGTCAGATTCTTGCATAGGAAGTGTTTATCACCACACACTTATACATGCACATGCAGGCACTCAACGACCAACTATGCACCATGCCGTATGTTCGTCAAACATAAGATTGCAATACCAAAGAACAACATAAACAAGATCATTTACTTCGTTCTCCTCCAAGTGTGTCCTTCCCAGCCAGGCCGTCTACTGCATTTCCCTAGGCGAAATGGTTTCTCTAGACTAGGAGAAGATGCTTGGTAATCGCCATCTCTCCTGAGAAATCAGTAAAAATTTCAAAACATACGACATTATTTCGTTCGCTAATCTCCGCTACTCGTCGTCTCACCTGGCTTCAGAAGATGTTACGAGAGATAGGAGAGTCTCCGGCAGGCAGCGCATCCATCTTCAGGAAGTGGAAAGAGCAAACGGCATGGTCCTTGGTTGAGGTAAATGCTGAACGTTTGATTCGTCCCAACCAAGATTTCAGCACGTGGTTCGTCACGATTTTCGCTTGCCAGCTGACGTCTCCGCACTCCAGCTTTCCCCTGTCGGTGTCACGTCCCAGTACACAACGGAGAGGACTACTAATAAACAGTTCACGGCACTAACACTAGTAACAGCATTGAACACAGTACTTCTTTCACTTCGTGAATACAAGAAGACAACTGAAAATGAAACAATTCTGCAGTGATCGACCTTCTCTCTCACGGAGCTAAGCAGAATGTGCGTCATCACCTGTAGTCGCCATGGAAACGGGATCGGGAAATCGGCGATATCGATATGGCAAGTTTCCCTTGCCGTAGACCATGTAGACCCCCCCCCCCCGGCCCGGGTGCTCGAATCAGAAAGGATTTGACAGGTGTGAAATTTCTCATCTGTAAATCTCAACAATGTCAGAATATACTTTTGGAGAGGCGATGGAACAGGGAAGGGAGTCTGGCTTGATCCACCTAGCAGGAATAGACCAATCCCGAAAAGATTGTCTGGGTTCGTGAAAGGGGGCACGCGTGCAAGCCAGCACGTGTGAAGTGCATCGTTTTGTATTCAGTTTGTGTGTGTCAGCTCATGGCGGAGGAGAGAGAGACTTTTGCTCGCCGAGCTGAAGCTAAAGGATTTGATGGAGTCCTGCCAGCAGCTAGTCAAAGGACCTTCGGTACCTTAGGCAGACCCTGACGGAGTTTGGAGGCCAGCTAGCTCTCGGTGAGGAGAGACACATTCGCGTGGCGATCGACTCTCCGTAAAAAATGCAAGCTACATAGCGCCGACATACTGCAACAGCTACGATTTCAGCTAACTTCTCGATCTGCTGCTTCACAAAGTTCAACTATTTACAAGTCCTGACTGTTGTAGTCTGAAGCTGGAGTCTCATCGCCCACCTACAGGTAGCTTTTGGAGCTGATGGATTTCCCGACTTGGACTCCTTCCGCAAACTCTCGCAACATTACTACAGTGTATGCTGTGTTTCCGCACGCTCGTGTCGACATGTCATTTATACTGTACATGTACCGGGTCGCGGAGGAGCCGGACGACCTCCGCTGACTCAAGGTTTCCGAAATATTGCCGTCGTCTTCGTTGATGTCGCTGGTGACATTCTCCCCTTGCGCATAGTTGTCGTCCCGGGGGTAAAGACTATGTTGTCTTTCGAAATAGTTCTTCATCACGCTCGCGCGAATGCCGCGAATGATGTTTCTCATCATGAACTCGTTCCGACGGTGTGACACGGCGATGGTCTTTGGTGGGGCACTGGCTTGGCGAAAACGAGATCTTCTTGTGCAATATAACATTGATCGGCTGCAGGTGAGTACAGTCACTTCGTGGTTGGTCCTACAGGAGGGCAGCGGCCAGGAAAGAGGCAGGACTCATCGAAGACGAAGCGCTCGCAACAAACAATAGCACTCGAAATATCTCGTAAGATTTAGGGCCTATCGCTTTGAGCCATAGCGCTCACAGCCTTGCCTACTTCATCAAAGTGAGCTCTACATGTTCGTTGACCTCTTTACACTACCCAGAAGAGCGAAACAAGGATTATGTCTTAGCATTTCAACTCCAACAGCAGACCATTACCAGTGCGAGAGAGAAAACTACAAAGGGCTTTGCTTTCTGTCGCATCGTCTCTCTTGCATGCAACTAACGAGAAAACCGTGTACTGACCCTCGCATTCACACGCGAACTATCAAACACGTCCTGTGCCGCATGCTGATCAGGTAGTGCCATGTATGTGTTGTACAGTGTACTCTCAGGTGACATGCCCCCTTTCGAACCCAGACAATCTTTTCGGGATTGGCCTATTCAGAACCTCGGTGCGCTTCAACACAAGCTACAGTACGCAGTAAAATGGTCGTATTTCCTTCGGATTTTTTATTTGAAAATTGGGTGCTCGAATCAGAAACAGCAAACTCGTCAGATCGTCTCCGATTCAAGCACACGGGTCTACCATTGTCTACGCTTGGTGTGGCAGTTGAGGGCAGGTAGTAGTAACTTACTACTTCGTTTTTGAGAGCAAGATGGTCAGTGGAGCCGCAGATTCAGCAGGTCTTTGGCAGCACCGTACAGGAGACCCACATCCTCGAATCAAGGACCCAGCAAAAAGTGGGTCGCGAGTATTTCAAAAACCGTTTACCGGGCAGCGCTGAAATTTGGCATACCGTTAGCAGGCCGTATGTTGATGGTATTTGTGAAAACTAAACGAAATCGGAACAAGTTTAGGTACAATTTCAGGGTGTTTCTGTTTTGGTACCCTGTGTCTCATTCGAGCACCCGTACCCGGGTCTACGCAAGCGAGAGATATACCATCGGAACCGATGTCTTTCATCTGAGCCCTACTTGAAAAATCGATGCACTTCCCCATTTTGTGAATCATCAACACATACATGTAAAACGAAGCTCATGCTCCGCTCGAGTCGAGCTGTTTCAAGTGTTTGTAAAAAAATCGTCTGGTATGTGCACACCGCCCTGTCGTGTCACTGTTGCCGTGGAAACCGAGGGTTTGCTGGCTGGAGACGCGCGACGCTTCTGTTCTCGGTTTGAATCTCGACTCCACTACGACAGGGCCAGGGGCTCGCCTGCATATCACTCACTTACACTGACAAGCGACAGACAACGCAGCACAGGCCATCTCTGTGCCCGCTTTGACCATACTTCCCTGGTCGTTGGTGTGCTGTTTCTCAAGACAAAGTCGCTCTCGACAGTGCATTGAACTATGCCAGTCAAATAAATTTGTTTCAAATAACTCTGGTTGAAAGTGTCGTCTGGTTTAGCGGGAGGTGATCGCAGCAGTATCGTGCCTCTTGGAGATTTCTCTCCAGATTTATGGCACAGGAAAGATCGGCGATAACCTTGAGAGCACGGTGGACGGTCGCAGTTTTCAACGTTCGCTCTAGCGCACCCAGCCCAGCGTTTTGCTGTGAGCACAGAGGAAGGCCAACATCGGCATAGCGAATCCAGTTTTCCTTCATTGGAATGCTCTGTGCGTTGTCTCACTTGATATCTAGACGTTCAGAAACAGAGCGACCAGCTTCGCGGGGATGCTTGCTGACGCCGTGTGGAGCTGCGAGAGTGCGTGCATCAGCGATCCCTAGCGTAGTCGTGGGTTGTGTTCGAGCTTGGACTCAGCTGGGAGCTAGCGCTGACTGCGCGTAGTTGACCCTGTGATCCACCCCTGGCGTGTGCCGCTGCGGGTCGCGCAGTTCGGACTGTCAGCACTGAGTGATACGCCCACGCCAACACCAACCCCGCACTGTAGAGTTCAGGCGGACGGTGCGAGGAAAAGCCCAGCGCCTGAAACACACATTGACCACCAAGACGAAGACGCAAAGTGAATAAATCGGCCACCAGGCTTCACTGCATCGGAAACTACAACTAATAGTGATTAGAGCGTCAGCTAGTGTTCTGTAGCCCGCCGACGTCACAATGGGTGAACCAGAGCAAGCCGAACCCGAGCTGCCGTACAAGGCGTGTGTTGCCGTGGGATGCCAGTATGCCGGCAAAGGACAGTACAAGAATGCCATGCGCATGTTTGACACGGTGAGTCCATTATGCTCTATATTATATTTACGAACGAAGCTGCTGCGACTTCGGCGACAATATTATTGGTAAAGAAAGTGTCTGCTCCGAACGTCGAGTGTCAAGTCATTCGGCAGGAAGCTGCGACGCTCAGAGCAGACACTTTCTTGATCATATGTATTCAAGGGACGACCCAGAGGCGAGTAGCTTATCGAGAGAGGGGGGGGGGGGATGAAATAATAAGTGAGCCAGATACATGGAATATGACACTTTAGCTCGCTCGTACGGCCGATCCGGAAGCGGGCACTGCCCGTAACTCCGAATCACGTACATTTTGATGGCGACGGGCAGGAGATCTGGGCTATGACGTCACTATTTCCAAAACATTTGCAACAGAGTACAAGTAGTAGTAGATGTATTCTCACTTAACCTCAGCCACAGGGTGCCCTATAGACCAAGGTGTCCGTAACCTAGAGGTCCTAATGAGAGTGACACAAGTGTACTGTCGCTAGGACAACCAGCACGCATCAGCTGTTACACACCTATCACATGTTGGTTCCAACTTCCAACTCCACTCAACCCCTGCATCTGTGGGTCACATGACGTCGGTGGCCATGTTGGTTCCAACTCCACTCAACCCCTGCATCTGTGGGTCACATGACGCCGTTGGCCATGTTGGTTCCAACTCCACTCAACCCCTGCATCTGTGGGTCACATGATGTCATTGGCCATGTTGGTTCCAACTCCACTCAACCCCTCTGTGGGTCACATGATGACGTTGGCCATGTTGGTTCCAACTGGTACACTCAACTCCTGCATCTATGGGTCACATGATATTGTTGGCCATGTTGGTTCCAACTCCACTCAACCCCTGCATATGTGGGTCACATGACGTTGGTGGCCATGTTGGTTCCAACTCGGCTCAACCCCGGCATCTATGGGTCACATGACGTCGTTGGCCATGTTGGTTCCAACTCGGCTCAACCCCTGCATCTGTGGGTCGCATGACGTCGTTGGCCATGCTGGCTCCACTGTCCACAGACTCCACACGCCTTGTACACGTCCTACAGTAGAGTGGCGCGCCCGAGAACGTTGTTTCCAAGGGGTGAGCCTGGGACGTTCTTATTTTTTCAGCAATCGGGCTGCGTTCTTATAGCACGTTCTTAGAAACAGTGCGTACTGGATCATAATTATGTATCCCACAAGCTGCCAGAAAACCAACACCGCCGTTCTTAGCTTTAGGCTGTGGCGTTCTTAGTATTTCAGGCTGGACATTCTTGGGCTCCATGTTCTTCAGCGCACGCCCCTACTATACACAAATTTAGTCACATGACCAAGATGGGAAACCAATCTATGGAGGGAATGGAGGCTTGAAAGTTTTGATGTCGGTTTAAACATTGATAGCTGAAACTGTAGCTGAAAAATCAATCTATTCTATAGATCTAGCTGTCAAATCAATATGTTTTTGCTTCTGCGGGGAGGGGGGGGGGGGTCGTAACTGAACTTTTTCATTTCGTGAAAATTTGAAATATAGATAATGCTGGATGGTCCCTTATACGCTATGCCCTGACCCGCCTCGAGTTCAACTAACCGACTAGATGAGTAGTGGATTGTGTGTTCGTTCGTCCTTGGTGTACAGGCGTCAGAAATGGCAGACTTTGACAATGAAGGTCGAGTGGCGCGTTCCAGCTGCTACCTAAAGATGGGACAGCCGAAAGACGCACTGGCAGAAGCACAGGAGGCGCTCGCTAAAGACTCCAAGTGCATCAAGGTGAGCTGTGTGTGTGTGGGGGGGGGGGTGTATCTGTATGTGTGTGTGTACCTGTGTGTGTATCTGTATGTGTGTGTGTACCTGTGTGTGTCTGTATTTGTTTGCATGTGTATGTGCAATGCATGGGATTCCTTTTGAGCCTCTCCCCTCTCCCAAGGGGGAACCCACGTCAGTGAGCAGTTATGGCAGTGCCGAGTAAGTACAAGTGTGTGTGTGTGTGTGTGTGTGTGTTTGTGTGTTCGTGTGTGCATGTACATTGGTTCTTAAAAATGTGTGTACATCTGTGTGTGCATGTGTCTGTGTACTGCACTGCCCAGGCGTTGCTCATGAAAGCCGAGGCACACTACGCCATGGGAGAGTTCGAGTGGGCTATGGTTGACTTCCACCGAGGCTTGCAGCGTAGGCCGGAGATCGTGGACTTCCGGCGGGGTGTAGATAAGTGCACAGAGGCCGTGGACAATGCAGTCGGAAGTGAGTTCCACTTGATATTACTATATCCATGTACACAAAGGCACACAATGAAAACCTTGGCAAATTAATTCCGTCGTGACTCACGGAATTAAGTTGCCAAGGTTTTCATCGTGTGCCCTTTGTGTACGCCGCTCTGCCTGAATCAGGCATTGAGCACTCTAGCAGAACTAAAGCATATTGCCTCTGTGTATATCCATGTACATGTATCACCTCTCACACTACGGTGGCGGATTCAGGGGGGGGGGGGAGGGGAATCCCCTAAATTTTCAATAATGTACTGCAGGATGATCGGGCGCCGAAGAACACCTAGGCTGGAAAATGGCCCAAAGTGAAGAACAATCATGCCGGGCTAGATTTGCAGATCTAAGAACACGTGACTTGTACTGCATCATTATGACATTGTCAGGCGCGTGCTCGGCGATGGGCACGGGGGCACGTGCACCCCCGAAAAAATTCAATCTGGGTAATTGCAATTGTAATGTATGCAAATATGCTCTAAAATTCAAGAAAGGTTGCAAACAAATTGCAGAAAATTGCCGGGGGGGGGCTCCCCTCGGCTCCCGTGCACCCCCCAGTTGGGGGGCCGAGCACGCCCCTGATTGTAGTGTGATTGCATCGCATGATGCTCTCCATGATCGAGGAATAAGAACAAAACGACTAACACCACTCAACGTGTAGGAAAAATGCGAGGCTGCGCTTTGAGCCCCTCCGTTCTTCGCCGCCCAATCCTCCTGTACTGGAAACGATATGCATGTATGTGTAAATGTATCAGCTATTCAGTTTCGGCTGATCTGGAACCCCCTGTCGAGATCTCTGTATCCGCCCCTGCAATAGTCACAAATATTGGCGTTCGGTTTGCACAATGGGACATGTGCATCGATTTCCCGCCGTTTGGTTTTGCGGAGTCTTGTACTAGAATGGGTTGAACCTGCCAAGTATGGGGTAACTTGCCTCGCTAAAAGGTGACGGCCATCTTACATGCATACCTCCCATTCGGTTTTTTTTGCAAAGCTTCCCCTTTTGTATTTATCTTGGATATTTCTGACCCACCGAAGTTGGGGGGTGTGTTGTTTTGCTGCTTCCAATTGTAGTTAGACCGCATTTTCAAGTCATCAACGTCGTCCTGTGACAGTCGGCATTCTTTGTTGCCGTGCTTGTGCACATTTTCGCTGCGCTCACCTTCCCCTCATTGGTTCTACCATAACCTTGAACCTTCCCAGTTGGAAGGCTGTTGGTTTGCGTACTGGAGATGTGTTAGAGCTAGGTGTCAGGTCGTTAAATGTCTCAGTAACCTGTCAGTTTTGTGCTTAGTTATCGCACTTTCTGACTGCTCATAACTTGTACTCATGTGTCCTTTTTAATATTCTAAATTTCTAATATTCATTTTACTAATGGCTCAGAATTTTTAAGAACTTTGGAACTCCTATATCCCTGATGATGCACTCCTGGGTGAACATTTGGACAATTAATTGTACGTGGTGTAGCCAAGGACTGTTTGTGTGTTGCGAGTTGGGTGTACTGAAAAATGGCTCAGTATCCGAGTTCAATTCTTCCTGTTGTTGATTGCCGTTGTACAGACGTGCGGGAAGTGGAGATCAAGGAGACATCGAATATATCATTCCTGAAGGAGGACTCGGTAAGGTGGCGCTCACACCCGTTCCGTGTAGACACTCGCGGGCAGATGCGGCGGAGAGGAAAGCCACATGAATCAGTAGCGGTTCTTGTCCGCCCAAAAGAGTTCACATATCAAGTCAAACTTGTGTTGAGTGGAACGCACAGAAAACTCGAGTACATCACTTGTGTCGTTTGACGTATACGTAGTACTGCCCTTTACTTCCACCGTCCAGGCACCGCATATGCCGCTTTGATGTAGCAGCCCGAGATGTGCATAGCATATGGTGCAGTAACATGCACCACAGGTGCCTTGCCCAGGGTCTGGTTTGGGGGGGGGGGGGCACCGGGCCATGCCCCTCCCCCCACCCCCAACTATATTCATTTGGCCTTCGTTCAGCAAGCGAGTGTTTGGGCTTTGGGCCAATGGCAGGGATCGCACTTGCAGTGCCTGCTATGAAGCCACAATGGAGTGCCAGTGCGCAGCGTTCCCTTATACTCGCAGCTAGCCGTGTGTTGCTGCGTGGCGGTGTACATAATACACTGTAATTTCAATTACATGGCTACTGTTCAAACTGCTTCGTGAATAATTTGACCATGCCCCCCCCCCCCCCACACACACACACACAAAGAGATGAGTCAGCTACGCCAATGCACCAAAAAGGGATACATCTATTCACGTTGCTTTCTACCTGTGTACGTGCCCGTGAGGCACTGTTTAGCTGCATCATCCAGTGGCATGATGGGCACTTGCACTGTGTGCTAGCTGCGGTCAAGAACTGCGAACATCACCTGTTTGCCAAATGTGGGGATTTCGATGTCGGATTTAGTGTAGTCTCGTCTGGTCACAAGAACAATCAAACACTACTATGAATTAAGTCCTGGTGGTGACGGTCAATTTTTCTGAAAACTTTTCCCGTTTGCATCTTTCCCTCAAACCAATGGACATACTATGAATTGAGGGACCTTTAATGTCAAGATGGCATCAACAAATCTTTATTAATTATTTTTCGTTTACGTAGGTTGCTCAGATGAAGAAGAAAGTGGCTAAGAAAGCGGCGCCGACGCAGACGTTTGTAGGCGCCATGGCACAGAAGATGCAGATGATGGATCGCAAGAAGAAGCCCGAGAAAAAGGTCAAGGAGTCGGCCAAGACGGTCAAGCAGGTAAGCGTCAGTCACACTGTGTCTGTCTATACTCCCCCTGTGTCTGTCGATACTCTCCCCCCCCCCCCCTGTCTCTGTCTATACCCCCCCCCCCATGTGTCTGTCTATACCCCCCCCCCCATGTGTCTGTCTATACCCCCCCCCCCCCCCCCTGTGTCTGTATACGTCAGGGGTGTCGGAACCGGTGCGGTATGGGCTATTTGGACCCAATTTCCCTGAAATTTAGAACCCCCGGGACCCCATGCTTTTCCATAGTCGTACCAATGCAGAATACCTTCCAAAGCCCATGTACAGTGGTCACACTGTCTCTGTACAGTCGTCCCTCAGTCGTCGCTCAGTCGTCCCTCAGTCGTCGCTCAGTCGTCCCTCAGTCGTCGCTCAGTCGTCCCTCTTCGATCCAGCACTTTATATACTGTAAATAATATTATACAAATTTTCGGCAGTTATTTAATTTCGGCTATATTCGGCACCGACCCAAAACGCCTAAATTAAAACGCCGATGAAATTTTTCACAGCATCTGTCGCACTATACCATGCCCTCTACCCCACGCCGAAAATAAGTCGCCGCTGAAATGTCATTTTTCGTGAAATTTCCGAAATTTTGTATATTTACAGTACCAGAACCTTCTATATGTCAGCATAATTTTCAGTTACCAAAATGTCCTCTTCGTGCACATTGCATCAGTAAATTGGATTTTCTAATCCACCACCCTCCCTAATCCAGCAGAATTTCCGTAGCACAAATGGTGCCGGAATATAGACGGACCACCGTACACCGTATTTTCCGAGACTAGGGCCGGTCTTCTATTACCGCCTGTCCGAAATAAGCACCACATCATTTCAGGCGTTTTGTGCAGATTTTCCCCGAATTGAACGAAATATTTTGGGCTCACAAACTGCTAAGCGCCTTAGCCAGTATTGCTGAATGTACGGTATTTGCGCTCACCAACCTATCCAGTGGAATTCCTTATCCATGCCAATACCTCACACTATTTGTGAAAGTAAAAAAAGAAAAAGAAGAAATCACGTGAGAACGAGTTATGCAGCAACTATCCACGACTGTAACAAGATGACGAACAGTCAGAAAAGGCGATAATAGTTATTACTGGCTCAGTGTCCGTGTCAAAACTATTTGTGAACGTTCTTTCACGTATACCAATACAAACGCATCATTGATGTTTGTTAACAATTTGGAAATCTGTACGCACGTTGCTTTCACTCCAAGTGTATGCAGTGTGCCAGTATATCCAATTGTTGTGTTTTTTCTCTTCCCTTTTGCGTATGCGTTTGTGCATGTGTGTGTGTGTGTGTGTGCGGGCATGTGTGTGTGTGTGTGTGTGTGTGTATGCGTGTGTGCGTATGCATGTGTGTGTGTGCGTACGCGTTGTGTGTGTGTGTGTGTGTGTGTGTGTGTGTGTGTGTGTGTGTGTGTGTGTGTGTGTGTGTGTGTGTGTGTGTGTGTGTGTGTGTGTGTGTGTGCATGTCCGTGTGCAGCTGTTGGGAGAGCTCTACCACGACAAGGCATATCTAGAGCAGCTGCTGGGTGATGGGTGTAAGTCACTGTGTGTGACCCTGATGTAGAGAGTGACACATTCTTTCCCATTACAGCACCTCGAATGCACACACGTGTATGGTATTTTTTAAGTTTAAAGTTTAAAGCAAGAGGGTGATGGCGTTCCTGAGGATGCGGAAACTCGGCCTTTGGCCGATTCTCACGCACACCGTGAATTTGTTTAATTTCAAAGCACACGGTCCTACTGATGATGTGGGGTAACAGTAAAGTGGGACAGAAGACTAGGACAAACAGACAAAAGGGGTAGGTAGGACATGCAAAAACAAGGTGCAGGTGAGGCGAGTCCAGCTAGTCCGACCAGAGGTCCCGGAGTCACCACTGGATGCGCGCACCAGGAAGGGGTAGGGGCAGGTTGAGGTATATGACGACTACACCATAGCTTAGTGGTACTAGTGCATCGCTGGCCATAAGCGAGGGTCCCTGGGCGAGTCCAGGTGGTGACAGTTAATTCTTTTCTTCAGACTTTTCCCGTTTGCAACCCCCTCCCCCCCTCTCCAAAAAAATCAATGAACAATGTATGGTATAAAAAGAAAGGAAAAAATGTTACGAGTTATGACTAACTGTCCACCAGCGTAAACAGATCATATACGGATCATGTACAGTCAGCGTGTGCGACATCGTAACATGTTGTCCTTTCGTTTATCCATGATTACTTTGGATCAACATCCGAGTTTAAATGTATGATATTTTCATTGATTTGAGGGAAAGATGCATGGCATCATTAGAAAATCCGGTTTACAAAAAGCACTCTACGCGCACCGCATTATTAGCTTCACCTGCACCTTGATGCTTCAGGGTAGTGGCGCTCCTATGCATGAGGAAGTTCCGACCGACTGAGTCTCCGGAAAACAGATCAACTCGGATGGAGAGCCAAGGATTAAAATTATTAAAAAAAGAAAGGACCATAAGTTTGCAAGTTATCCGTTTCGTCCAACTGACTAACGATTATAAGCAGGATACTGTTGAGTCAAAATGAGCAACAATTAGCACAAAACTGACTGATGTGATACTGACATTCAATGACCTGATACGTAGCTAGAGGTTCATTTTCCATTTTATCTCTGTTTTCTTTTTTCTTTTTTGTTTCCCTACTAGTTGCTGTTACACTCACTGATCCTTATGCACAGATATACAGCATTCCCTCACTAGTGGGACCATTGTTATTAGGCTAGGGCCTGTTTTGGACTTCCCACCCTAAATAAAGAATACAAACAAACAAACAATCTCTCCACAGACCTACTACAGTTTGGCAAGATCATGGGTTGAGTGCACTGGTTGGATGTGTTTGAAGGAGGGAGTTCAAATGAAAGTGTTTGTCTGAGCCACCGTCACGGTCCATGGCAGTGCACTGCAGCACACAACACTTCAGTCTGTTTCCTTTTATCTAGGCATAAAGTATCGTTGGGCGCCAAGGAATTGGAGAGGGGGGGGGGGCTCTCCGCTTCAGGCTTTCTATGTTTTTTTTTATTGTGGAGATTGCAGTGTCTTTGTTCTTGTTCAGTTCTTGTACATCAGTCCACGTTGTGTATGTACACTGAGCATGATGCTGCGGGGTTACATGAAAAAAACACACTGTGGAGTTCCTAAATTTTGCTTCCAGCATGGCACTTTTTTTTTAATTCTTTTTTGTTTAAAAAGGCAGGCAGGCATAGTGGGATGGTCTAAGACCATGATTGAGAAACAGAGGGTACCAGGTTCAAGTCCTGCTTGGAAGCGGAAGGATTTTTTCCAGCCGTGCTGCGACCCACAGTTAATTGGGAACTCGTGGCCTGGCACGAGGGAAACACGGATGCAGTGAATGGGATTTCGGTCTTTGACCACTTTGTGGTGGGTCTGATCTACTCACCTCCTACCGTTTAGGAGCTGCATCTGCGCCTTGATCCAAGAGGGTGGTGGCGTTCCTGCGGATGCGGAAAACTGGGCCTTTGGCCGAGTCTCACGCGAACCGTGAATTTTTTTGTTTTTTTGTTTTGTTTAAAAACAATAATTATTTTAGCCCGGATGTTCTTGATACCCGTAACTGTGACTGTAGTGCCTGGGTTTCTCTGCTGCTCTCAGCTGAAACTGCGGTCGAAACTCTCTGTCGTTTCCGTCTCCATTGCTTGCAGCTTACAGCTTGGTTCACAGAGGGTGGTGGCGTCCCTACGGATGCCGAAAACTCGACCTCCAGCCGAGCCTAACGTGAACCGTGAATAATACTCTTTTCTTTTTGTTTGCAGCCCCGTTTGAGAAAAGCGACTTCAAGGAGGAGCTCACGGACATGGCCAAGGACGGCATCGGATTCCTGGAGAAGCAGACGGAGTTCTGGCGAAAACAGCAGCCCATCTACTCTCGGAAGAACGACTATCTCAAACGGCAAAAGAAGAAAACGCCGGAGCTGTATCCTTCAGACTTTGTAGCATACGCATGTTGGCTGATGATTGCCAGAGCATGAAGCTCAGAGTAGCGGCTATCTAGCCTTGATCGCCCTTGTCGTTCTGTGTAGCCTACGCATGTAACGAGAAGTAGAGGATGACGATTGTTTTATGACTCATAGTTTCACGTACGAGGCGTTTATCAAACAACTGCCTGATAAGTATGATGATCGCTTCTTGCGCGTGAAACTCCTCGGAGTTACAACACACTCTTCAACCTCTTCTTCTTGTTGTAAATAGCTGTGCCCTTGCTGGGCATTGAGCACGACTGGACAGCCTGGAACCTTTCTATGTTATCATGTGTCTGTACATACATGTAGGTATAGTGGGCACGTTCAGGATAAGGTAAAGAGGTTATGCAATTACATCATAGGTTGACATGCTTTGGCAAAGTCGCAACACAGCGATGTACTAGCTGGTTGCCTCCCTGATGTGCATCAATGGGCGAGTACCGTATTTTCTAGAATCAGGGCCAGTGTTTTATTACTACTGGTCTGAAATAAGCGCACCATCATTTCAGGACTTTTGTGTGGCCTTTTCTTCAAATTGGGTGAAATTTTAGGGCTCGCAAACTTCTAAGCGTCTTTGCCAGTCTTGCCGAAAATGCAGTATGTCCGCATCACTCGTATGCCATCAACACTAATTCTAGCATGTTCATGCATTGGCACTCGGAGGAGTCCTAAAAACCAATTCCCAGAATTGTAGCTCATTTGTCTTTGGATCTTCCTCCTCCGGAACAAACTTCGCGACCATTTAGTTCACATTCTAAGGAGTTACTGTGTTCAAGAAATGGAGTACAAATGAAAACCCGCCAGAACAAAAAGTGACGAGAGAGCTTGGAAGCTCAGGGCCCTACGCTATGCTTTTTTGCCTTGATGACCTAGACAAAAAAAAAGCATAGGGATGTTATAAATTCTTTAAAAAATCCTTTTTTTTAAGACATAACCTGGGATTCGAACCCGCACTATCGCGCGCCCTGCATGCATCCCCCGATACACTTCGCATACATACTTCCAAGTTGTTTCACATTGTGATCTTGCATTTGAAAGCCCTATTTGAATATGCATTGTGGCCAGCCGTCTTTCATGGCACGGTACGGTAGGGGATAGGTACGGGACAGGTACGATCGAGGGTAATACGACACCGTCTCCCGTACCGTACCGTACCATCAAACACAGCTGGCCACATACAGCTGCCCGCAATATTCAAATAGGGCTTTCAAAAACAAGATAATAACGTGAAGCAACTTGGAAGAATGGGTATGGATGCGAAGTGTATGGGGGAATGCATGTAGGGCGATAGTGCGGGTTCGAATCCCAGGATATGCCTGAAAAAAAACTAGGAGAATTGAAAAATTTATAACATCCTATACTTTTTTGCCGTCAGATACGGATAGCGCCAGGCGTGACACAAACAAACAAACAAACACACAAACAAACAAATACCAAATTAAAGCTGTGTGGACCCTGGCTAGCGCCAGACGTTACTGAAGTAACGTCTTCTGCATAGCTACGGGGATTAAATGTGTCTACTTACGAGTTTCATGCCGAAAAGCAATTTAAAATCACTTTTTGTTCCACCGGATTTCCGTGTGTACTAAGCTCTGCACGCCGTGGGTTGAGCACTGTGCCCGGTAGTCAAGGTTCTTTTCTGTACTTCGAAGAAGTATGTACACTATACTACGAAAGAAGTAACAGTTGGCACCTTTTGAGTTTCACTTCGAGTCACCATTGCTGAATTTTTCAGAGCGCAATTCACTAGCGCTGACAGATAGGCCAGAGTCACGAAGAAGAGTTTGTTTCTGCAGGAAGCATACGCTGCACACACCCATCATGTGATCTTGTTCATACCCATAGTGCCGAGTGCTCATTGATTAATCCTACAGTGTGAGTCAAGTTCACGCCCCCGAACCCAGTTCACGCCCCCGAACCCAGTTCACGTCCCAGTGTCTGCAGGTCTTGGGCTGTACAGCGCCCGGCGTGACATTTATTCGCCTGATCCGGTTTCACTGAGCAGCATAGTAGTACATAGCAGCAGGTGCTTGACCCGAGTGTTGTATCGGCTCCGTACTTCCCTGACGCCATATTTTGAAGATAGCCGATCTGCGTGCACCAGCCTTTGTGGTCACCCCCGTGGCGCAATGGATTAGCGCATTGGACTTCTAATCGGGCTTGCTGCTTGACGGCATTCAAAGGTTGTGGGTTCGAATCCCACCGGGGGTGAATATGTTTTTTTCCTTCTTTTTTCTTTCATCTCATCAAAAAAAGGAAGCAAACATTTCTTTCTTATTGATTCGTACTCGTGCCCTGACTTTTGGTGTCTGGCACGTAAATATGCTGTATGTAATGCATGCCTGTTGTGCATTTTGTGATCCGTGCACATGTTTCTGGGCTGTATTTGTGCCCTGAAAAGTCCAAGGATGGAGAGTTTGTCGTTCGGCCAGGCTTTTACGAATTCGAACGGGTATACCATTGCAAAACGTATGGAGAAGCAGTAACAAAACCCAACATTTTCGAGTTTGAAGTGGGCTTTTCATCTCTCCTGGGTTCTAAGGCTTGGTAGTTGGGGCCCGAAGTATTTTTTTATTTTTCTACAAAATCTCCAGATACTGCAGTAAATAGAGGAGGGCCGACCAGTGGTCCCGGCTTCATAGCCCAATGGATGATCTTGGAGAAAAAAACCTGTCTGCTGCGGATAGTACTGAGTATGTGCTGGGGCTGCAGAAAAAAAAAGCAGTGATGCCGTTGTCGAACTAATTTTGGGAATAAGGTCAGTGAGGGCAATTGATTTCTTGCCTTAGTACAAGTATTGTGTTTTACGTCATCCATGACGGCTACTATGGCCAACCAGACCACAACGAAGTTGGGGCCAAAAAGAAAGTTTATTTCTTTCACGTGAAAATATATACAGGGGCCATTTTTACGAAAAATGATTTCCGTATACAAAAATGCATGTACGAGGTCACTACACAAGTACTAGACGTGTACTTGCTATCATGCTGGGCCACCCACTGCGTCTTATGTCACTACATGTACGCTCTAAACCTATTCTCACCTTCTAACTACAGTAAAACCTGTCAAGGCGACCACCTGCCCCAGAAGACCACTGCTACCAGGACCAGGGGATGCTATTTCCAGTCAAATGACCCTGGATAAGGACTAAGGAGACCACCTGGCAATGGAGACCACATCTTGAATGTCCCTTGAGTGGTCGTCTTAGACGGTTTTCACTGTACAACTCTTGCTAGTTGATTTCCTTGACATAACTGTGCGTCTCACTTGGCAGAACGACAACGCAGCTGACAAAGAAGTACCTGGAGATACTTGTGGACATTGATTCAGGTAGGTACTCAACTGGGTACGGACTAGTGTGCGAGAGATTGGCGGTCAACACACGCCAAGCGGAGACGCCATTGATTTACTGTATGACCAGATATTTTAGCGTCAAATAGTTAACGATCTCCAAATTTTTGCGGGTTAGCGAGGTGAAATTCTAACAAATTCTGTCTCAAAACCGGAAAATAACTGTACATGTGCATATCGTTTTGTACATAACGACTTCAAGTGTTAACGAATTGTTTAAATTCATTAAATCGTTAGAATGATTTTTCGTTAACATTGCTGTTCTTACAGTAGGCCAAGGCCTGTGGAGAATGCATGAATACAACTACAACATACAGAACATCCGACACACACTCCACAAGCATCTACTCTTAATATACAAAATCTCGGCGCTGCAAAATTTCGGCACTTCACGATTTTTGACATTTCGGCGGCGATTTATTTTCGGCGTGGGGTAGAGGGCATGGTATAGTGCGACAGATGCTGTGAAAAATTTCATCGGCATTTTAATTCAGGCGTTTTGGGTCGGTGCCGAATATAGCCGAAATTAAATAGCTGCCGAAAATTTGTATATTTACAGTACTAGGTGTTTCGGCCACACAAAATGCTCTGCCACGTCTTGATGACACGGGAGACGATGAAAGGCTACAGTGCGGACTTACAATCCATAATGTCCAAGTATGTTCTTGGTCAGGTAAAACATCACCAGCAATCAATCCCGGAGCATGCACGATACGTACTGTGAGGCTGTGTAGTAGAAATATAACAACTTGCAGTAGAAATATACCGACTTGTAGTAGAAATAATAACAACTTTCATACACAACATCACAGTAATAGTGAGGCGTTTGTGTTTGTGTTTTTTTGTTTTTTTTGTTTTTTTGTTTTTTTTTACTATTGACACAGCCCTACTGGAAAACAGGTGGAGAATAAAAAGGTGTGTGCTGTTCTGTTTCGTTCTCTCTCAGACATTCTCGACGGCAAGGCAGAGCAGGCGGTGCGCAAGTGTGAGCGCTGGCTGAAGCGTGTCCACCTGCACTCCACGTACGAGCTGCCGGACAAGCTGGAGGTGCTGGCTAATCTCAACAATACTTACGGCAACGCCTTGCTAGATGTGGGCCGATACGCCGAGGCACTCGAGGCGCACAAGAACGACCTGGAGTTCAGCACGAAGAGGTAGGACAAGGCGGTCATGTGTGTGGGGGGGGGGGGGGGGGAGCGGGCCGTCAGGCGAAATTACTGGTCAGTCGGCGACACGCATTTTTCACAAAAATTTGCGTTTCACCTGCTGGGAGAGTATGCGTGTACTCGAGTCTCATCCTGAGCACATTTTTTCTTTCTTTTTTCAGCTCCAGTATAGCTGTATTTTTCATTGCAAAGCCGTCCTCGATTGTTGTGTTTGTTGTTCAAACGAAGTGGACATTCAATCATGAAGGCAGAGGACATAGGAGCCTGATTGGAGTTTCTTCTGGCATAGGACAGCCACACAGAGACACTTTGGGATTTTCTGAATATAAAATACCGTACGCACGATGCTGAGATCAATTTGTGCGATATCAAATTGTTTGTGATCTACCACATCGAGCAGAACGGGATCCAAACACAAGCTTACCGACGGTTAGGCTGCCGACCTGACTGGACAAATGATCCCTGGCTTCACCAGACGCCAGAAGTCAGACACCATGTCCTTTGCCGCGACGTCCATCTCCAAAAAGAACTCCATCTTCGTCATGAATAGGCTTGAAATACTCAATATTCAACCGAGATTCGCGGTCTCACCCTTTCTCAGATCGAATCATTTTTTGTTGTAGCAGTTGCAGGGCAGATCCCCGCCACTACTTCAACAGAAGATGGCTCCAAAGCATGCCTGGAACAAGCGATATCGAGGTTGCAAGCCACCCCTCTCAGCACTTTTTTGGAAGAAATTCGAAATTTCAACGGTGGAAGATATACTATGAAGAGAATTTCAAAAAGTATGTTTCGCGGAGCGATCGCTCAACCTACGTCATTCAAACTTTGCAGGATGGTTCAGACGTACATGCTAGGCATGGAACCACAGAAGATGATATCATAGCTGACACACAGAGTCACACACACAGCAGATTCGTGTGCACAGATACTAAATTAGTGGACATCGTCATCTTCTTCCCGCTGATCTCAAATGTACTATGACGTGCTATTTCGCCTGACGGAGTAGCGTCGTGTACAGTCAACATAGTCCGGTCACCACACCGGAAAATGGTCATCATAGGTACCTGTACTACATAGTCAAATAAGCAGACTGATGGCTCTGAGGTTTCCAGTGGTACAAAAGTCACCACTCCACAGAATTGCTCTGGTACAAAAGTCACCACGCCACAGATGTGCTCTGCTACAAAAGTCACCACGCCACAGATGTGCTCTGCTACAAAAGTCACCACGGCACAGAATTGCTCTGGTATGTAGTCACCACACCACGGATACCACCGCCCGTTGAGATATCGATATTGTCGAACCTGCCAGAGAACTGTTTCTCTTTCTCGTTCCTACAAACTAGTTTGAACGGAAACCTACACCTAATCTCATTGAACATTCTCTATTTTTTTCTCTTTTCTTTTCTCGTTTGCTCTTGCCTGTATATCGTACCTCCTCGAGCAAACTTGTGGGACTGCTGTCGATGTGTACACCGCAGACTAGCATACTAGCTGATGGCCTAGCTCTTTCTTCTTCTTTTTGTTTTACTTTTTTAACCCCCTGGTGCGTGTTGTGTGCAAGGATACCGAGACCTTTAGTCGGAGGAGTCCACAACGCCCCACCTATACAGCTGCGCTAGTGGATACTAGTAGTCCGCCTCGACTCATTAGTTGTTTGTTCTGTCAACCCACAACTTCTGTGTTCTAGTCGTTTCTTCGTTCTCCCTGCATGCAACATTGTTTATCTTTCTTGCTATTATTTTTTGTCTCGAGCCGGTCTTTAGTTCTTTGTAAAATAAATATACTAAAAAATCACCTGAAGAGAATGCGCGAAGGTTTACTCGAAAAAATCAAAACGTTCTTGAGGAGCCTGAAGTTTGTTCCGCTGCTAAGTGTTATGACATTCTCTTTGTGCCGTGTTCTTTCTGTTTTTAGTAAGAGCAAGGAAGCGGTGTCTCGTGCACATGACAATATTGGCCGGGCGTACGCCAAGCTGGGCCGCCACAAGGAAGCGGTTGCAATGTAAGTGTGCCAGAGGGTGGGTGGGGGAGGGGGGAGGAGGGGGCAGGGGAGGAGGGGGGGGGGGTGCACAGTCAGTACACAATCTCTACCAGCACAACTACAGTCAACTTCGAGCATGACGATACCCGACGGGGTATCAGAAAAGTGTCCTTATTTGCGAAGTGTCATTATACCCGAAGTCTCATTATATGTATACAGTTAGATGGGACTTTGCTCTGGGCATGGAAATTCTGTCGTTATTCGCGAATTGTCGTTATACTTTTCCTCAGTCGTTATTAGCGAAGTTGACTGTACTCTACATGCTTGCCACCTCACTGGTGGAGAACAATATTTCTATACTCCTGGGTGTGTTACCATTGGCAGAATGGCCGCTGTGTAACATGTGCCTCTCTGTAGCATGTTGAAGGTGCAGTTTTCAAGTCGAGTCCAGTCCGTGCCAAGTTACAAATTACACATAATCCTCTTGGTATTGTCCCACTCTCATTGTGTATGTCTGCCTCTCTCCGTCTATCTCTCTCTCTCCTCTCTCTCTCTCCCTCTCTCTCTCTCTCTTTCTCTCTCTCTCTCTCTCTCTCTCTCTCTCTCTCTCTCTCTCTCTCTCTCTCTCTCTCTCTCTCTCTCTATCTATCTATCTCTCTCTATCTCTCTCTCTCTATCTCTCTCTCTCTCTCTCTCTCTCTTTCTTTCTCTTTCTCTCTCTCTCTCTCTCTCTCTCTCTCTCTCTCTCTCTCTCTCTCTCTCTCTCTCTCTTTCTTTCTCTCTCTCTCTCTCTCTCTCTCTCTCTCTCTCTCTCTCTCTCTCTCTCTCTCTCTCTCTCTCTCTCTCTCTCTCTACGCCGCTCTATCTTTTACAGCTGGCAGAAAAAGGTCAACATGATCACGTCATACACGGAGAAGGCATGGGTTATGCATGAGATGGGACGCTCATACATAGAGCTGGGCCACTACGACGAGGCAGCGGAGTATGCCCGTATGGCGCAGCTGGCCGCGGAGGAAGGTGGAGATGACGTCTGGGTACTCAATGCCAGGGTCATGGAAGCGCAGTGTCACTGTGAGTGCGCCCCGGGTGATTCGGGCCGTTTTGAGGGTTGCCCTGCCTCTTTCCTGCCCTGTCTCTGTCCACGCTGCTGATCAGGTTGTACCCGGGTTGCTGGCCCGCCCTTTCCGGGAGCTGCACTGGTTGGGTGCCTTGCCCCTTGCCGGGCCTCTACCCAGGCCCTGATCTGCCTTGCCCCTGCTCGGCGGGGTGATTCTCCCTCCCCGGCTGATGCCCTGCACGTTATCAGATGTTGCACTGGTTTGATGCCTTGTCCCTGCTCGACGGGGTGATTCTCCCTCCCCGGCTGATGCCCTGCACGTTATCAGGTGTTGCACTGGTTTGATGCCTTGTCCCTGCTCGGCGGGTCTCTAGCCTTTGTCAGGCCCTATGCTAGTGGATGCTCTGTCCCTGTTCGATAGGGTGGTTCTCCCTCCCCGACTAATAGCCTGCCAGTTGCCAGCTCCTATTCCAGTGTATGCCTGCCCATGGTCGATATCCACTGTGAATGCTCTGACTAAGAAATAAAGCGAGGGTGGGGGGTATGACGATGGCCGCTTTGGCTCTGCACGTACATGATTGTATGCATCAGTTCGGAAATCAGCTGTCACTGCAGTAAGCGTTGTGCGCGGTGTACAGGTGTGTGGAATCCCGGCATAGACCCAGTTGGGTGTTGAATGGGCACGACTCTATCGTGTTCACTGCTATTTCCACTGCAAGCCGTGACCAGAGAGGCATTTCGTTTTCAAACATCCTTCTTTTCGAACGAAGATCTAGCTAGTCATAAGGTTAATGGCAACACAGGATTGAGTCCTTCTTCAGATTCTTGGCACTAGAGTTGGTGTTTTTATCAATTGTTTTGTGTTGAGATATTGTGTCATAATTATGTAAGCACATTTGCTTTGCCCGTACAAGAGACTTTTCCGTTAGGTTAATCGAAAAATGATGAAGCTGGAAAAGCGCCACATAATTTTTTCTGATAATTCGAACCTCGAACCGGACATGTCCGGTTAATTCGAAGTTCCACGGATTCCACTTACATAGAAAATGTGTGGGATTTGTGCTGATAATTCGAAGTTAGCAAAGTGTAATTCGAAGTTCACTGTACACTGTACTGATCAGTTCAGTTTGCATGAGCAGGCTGTACTGGTCAGTTCAGTATCCTTGAAATATGTGTCTAAGGTCCATAGCGCAACTCTGTGTGACAATGGGAGCATTTTGACATACATATTGTGTTGTGGGTTCATGTTTGGATAATTAGAATATCCGACTAATTAGAAGTTTTTTGCTGGCATTTGGAGGTTCGAATTATCAGGATTCCACCTGTACTTCATTTCCTCAATGTGTCCTGCAGCCAAACTGGACGATCCACTGGAGAGCCACCGGCTGTACTTGCTGGCACTGGCGATGGCGCTGAACTTGAAGGACGACACGACGGTGGATGCGGTCACGGCCGCGATTGACGACCTGGAGGATCGCCTCAAGCTCCTCGGCCTGCAGGCGCCGTTCGACGGCAAGACGTACGACAACTTGCCCTCGGTGGACGACTTGAACGTGCTGCCCGACATGCCAGCGGACGAGGGCACACCGGCCGAGCCACTGCGCCCGATCGGCAAGGACGCGGACGAAAGCGAGCCGCCGAAGCCGGGACAGAAGTCGGCTGCCGATCCGGGCGCGGCGCCCGAAACCGGCGACCCAGCAGCGGCGAAGTCGCAATCACGGAACGCCGCTGACGACGCAGGCGATGCTACCGGGTCGCCGGCGACGACGACTGGCGCTACCGTCACGTCGCCGCGGCAGGGCTCTGCGAAGGCAACTGAGAAATAGACGAGCGGTGTGAAATGACACGTTTAATAAGACTAGCAATGATTATAGCTGAGCAAGAATGCGTAGACCGAAGTGCTTCAAGCGCTAGCGAGAAGGTGAGCCACCAGTCCCGGCTTCGTCATGACGCAGTGGTGCATTTCAAACACGGCTGGGAAGATCAGTGTCAGTGTTTTGTCCAATCTCAGAATGAATCCCGCTTCTCTGTCTGTCTCATGAGGTCCCTTTTCTCCTTTCGCGCACTACTCAGTCTTACGTACAACTGTGTGGTGGCTGTATATATGGAAGTGCATGTATCTTGCGGAGAAAAAACCCGAACACAATTGGATGCGAGTAAGGGTGTCTTAGAGCAAGCGTATTTTGAAGTCAGAGTGAAGCAACAAAGCGGGGGCAACCCCCGCGACAATGTCATGTGTTGTGTGTTCAGGCACACATTACCCTGTGCAACGGTTCACGAATTTTCCTGTTCATTCGTATGCTGCTACGGCCACTGTTGTTTCTATGGTGACCGGTTGAAAGTACTGTTTTGACAGTTTCCATGTTACTTTTTGCCCTACTTACCATGGGCAGGACATGATTGTACAAGACTGTACTGTATTATGTGTCTGCAGCTACAATGATCCCATACGGTCTTGGTGCTGTAAGTATGCACGCATGCGGCGGCGGAATGCATGACAAACTAATACTGAAGACTAGGACTCAATGGCGTAGGACACGCTACGGTCACTACTGTATTCAGTCTTTGACCGTATCACTTTTTGCGCCAGAAACCCCGTGAATCAATAAAACGCGCCGATTTGGGCTCTAAACTTTGATATTAAATTTTGTCAGAGGAACCACCCAAACCCCGCAAGTAAATGAAATGTAAATGTAAACAAATAATTGCACTTCAGGTGGTTGACCGTACCTACCTAAATTACCTTCCGACGAGTCATTGTGTACTGCTGTAGTGTTCCACACCAAAGGCAGAAAAGGAGGTCGGTTTGTCGCCACTCTGAGTTCCTGGCTCAATGCAATCATCAGCCATTTCCGGCGACTTGTGATTTGTACCTGATGATTGCACCGTGCAAGACGCTCGGAGTTCTGGCACACTCCGTAAACTCCCTGTGTATCTTTTGTGTGTGGAGTAGTGCTCGACGTTATTGTGCTGAGCCCTCTCCACTGGCTGAAGGGCTTTGTGTACTGTTGAATGTTAGTGATGCTCAGTTATTGCCCCCACTGCATGCATACACGGCCCAGGGGCGTCGGATTCAAACGAAATTCCCGGGGTTGACCCCCACCCATTATTTTTCCGATACTCCTGTACAACATGGGTACAAGGTCTCATCCCTAGCGCCATGGCGCTACCACTGCAGTGCAACTAACTGCTCATTGCTCAATACTCCTAGTCCAATAGATGATGATTGTGCGAAGAAGGACATGGTGGTGAGTGGACGGAGCCGCTTCTTCGTGTACAATGCAAGTCAGCGGAACCACTTTTATGAAGTTATGGGCGCTAGGTATACAGCACGCGTCGCTAGAATATACAGTAAAACCTGTCTATGCGACCACTCTAATATGGCGACCACCTGCCCCAAAAGACCACTTGCAACCAGGACCAAGGGATACTATTTCCAGTAAAATGACCCTGGATAAGGAGACCACCTGGTAACAGAGACCACACTTTGAAGGTCCCTCGAGCGGTCGTCTTAGACAGGTTGCACTGTAGTGCATGCCTGTACTGATGCTGACATTGTAGCATCGCAACTTACTTCTTCATCTTTTATTGAGAATCAGTCAGTCTTGCCGCTTCATGGCTTGACGAGAGAAGGCAGAAATCCATGTGCATGCGATAGGAGGGAAGCAGTGAGTGTAAGTCCTTGTACGGTCCCTTGCTAGTGACAAGTGCTCGTAAACTTGATAACTTGAACTATGAGTTGACAACACTCACAGGAGTCACAGCTTGAGAATGTCGATGTGGACAATACAGTCATGTATTTGCACTGCAGCGCGCAGATGATGCGTGACATCCCAGCTATTCAGGGTTGGCAGGTGAGCAGCCTGTGTGAAGTGCGGAATGACAGGTGCCAATGGTGCAGGTGTCAGAGACTGGGAGATATCAGCTTTATGACTAGTAGTAGTCGACTCAGGATTGGTGGCGACTGAAATCCGACTCCTGACTTTCGTGCTTGAATGTAGCACCCATTCTGGCGCTCTCTACTAATACAGGCAGAAGGAAGTTATCCTCCTTGTACTACTTCGAAGTAATACAGTCATGTATTTCGTACTGTTACAAGCGCGTGCTGGGTTTTGCAATGGGAGCGCACCGAGTTGGAGTCGTATTTCAGTTGCCAGCACTGTAGTTCTCATGGGCCGACGCAGTACAGGGAGTACAAACACCTCATCATGATTGTAGTACAATTTCATTATGACATACAGTCAGTATCGCCTATAAGGTTGGCGGCTATAGTAATAAAATGGCAATAAATAAGATAAATTGTGCACTCATAACAACAGCAAAAATGAAGAAAGTCAAGTTCCATAACGTTTTCTTGTGACTGTCATCAGTGGAACGCCGTCACATAAAAAAAGTAATAACTAAAACACACACTTATATACATGTAGCTAATATGGTTTCAGGTAGAAATACAGCAGCTAACAAGTACAAAAAGCGAAGTTTGCACCTTTGCAATGTGTGAATATAGTGTATGTGAGAAAGGTAGTGGCAGATGAATGTGATACTGTGTGAATGTATTTCTACCTGAAACCATATTAGCTACATGTATATAAGTGTGTGTTTTAGTTATTACTTTTTTATGTGACGGCGTTCCACTGATGACAGTCACAAGAAAACGTGATGGAACTTGACTTTCTTCATTTTTGCTGTTGTTATGACTTATGAGTGCACAATTTATCTTATTTATTGCCATTTTACGACTATTGTCTCCTCGTCGATTGTTTAAAGGCTATAGTAATATACCGGATATAGTGATCAATTTCTCAAATTCATTTTCATTTGCCATAACTAATAATTATACACAGTTGTCGCGTATAGTAATAATCGTCTATAGTAATAATCGTCTATAGTAATAATATCGCCTATTGGCTATAGTGATCAAATTCATATTATTTCAAAAGACCTTTATTACATTATTTTTGCATGGGTTATAGTGATTGATGTAAAATCAAGCGATGTCAGAGGAGAACAGGGTGTTACTTCTTCGTGAAGAACTTGTCCAGTGAGTGTTGTTTGGTGAGTTTTGCTCGTACAAGTTGCCAAAATATGCCTCCATCGTGAGGAAATGCTGATTTTGTGTGTCAGGAGCTACAGCCAGCTACATGACATTGTACATGTATGTAGTGCGTATGTGCACGGCGCGCTGAGTCGTTTGACATCCCACTCGCATACATAATTGCATGCAGTATCGGTCATAGTAATACATGTATATCGCTTATAGACTAGTGATAAAATGCTCAAAATCAAACACCAACGCTATAGGCGATACTGACTGTACATGCAAATGTACATCCGACCCCTACCATACCCTCCATCATAAAATTAATATTGCTGAGTTTAAAAGAGAACTGCATACTAGTAATAGTATGGCTAAGTTTCAATTCAACTGCAAAGGTGTTCACTGATATTCCTTGTTTTCCTCACTGATTTGCTCACTCCCAGTTGTCCTACACGTATTCGTCGTGTTCTCCTTCTCTGCTCACTCCTTTCACGATGACACTTGCTCTAGCTGTACTGCAGTGTACTGGCACTGTTATTGGACACGCACCATACTCTGTCCATAGACCAGGCCAGGAGAGGCGGACACTGCTCCTTGTACATTGTACTCCTACGTGATCCTCATTGCAAGGAGGACATTTTCCTGTAACCAGCGGAGATAGGGACCGGCGGATTCTGCTCGAAAAGGTGGCAGATTCTGCTCGAAAAGCAGTGAAAGTGGCAGAACCATACAAACCTTATGGCGGGCAATTCCTCGAATTCTGCTCCATTCCTTTATCCACATACAGTACATGAAACTTGCCAAAAAAAGTACCGAATTTTGCCAATTTTTCTGCCGGCAGAATCCGCCGGACCCTAAGCGAAGAGGGCTGGCTGAACACAATAACGTGGAGCACTATTGCACACAAAATGCACAAATGAGGTTTACAGAATTCTTTGCAACTCCGGGTTTCTTGCTCCATGCCATGCACGTCGCCTGGTGCTTGCATTGCGCAAGAAACTGTGAGTTGCGACGAACTCTGTACACCTCCTTCAGGGGCGTAACCAGGATAGTGATCAAGGTAGGGGAGGGGGGCGGGGGGGGGGGGCACGACTTCCCCACACAAAGTACAATGTACTTATGTTGGTCCTTTCATGCGTAATAATACTGTTATTTTGATCTGCAATACGGCGGGGGGGGGGGGGATCAATCAGCGAATGACAAACCTCCAACCAGGGAGTAGTATTATGGTATTTTACTACTCCCTGCTTCCAACTAAGAATGAGCGCACTTGCGCCAATTTAGCCCTATAGAGATCAGTCTATTCTTATTATTCTTTCATTCAACATCATGTGCCTCCACTGATGAGCTCAGGAGGAGCGAAACAGCTGTCTGGAGGGTCATTGTCAATATCAATCTATAATTCTATAAACTGGAATTGTCCTCGCTGTGGTGATGGTGATGCGAGTGCAGAGTTTGGATCGGCCTAGAGCGCAGTGTGGTGGTGTAGTGTATTGGATTACACTTTGAGATCCATTTTTTCTGCTCGTCTTGACCCTGCCTCCCCTCATTGCTACTTCCGTTTTCGTATTTTTTTTCATTTTTTTCTCTTCATTTCTGACTCTTCTTACTGGTTGTCATCGCTTTCATAATATTGGGCAGAACTGCCCGTTTGCCATGCGATGTAAAATAAATAAACAACAACAACAACAAAAACAACACTATATTTCCCACAAAAACCGCACACTGCACTTCAACGTTACTTTCACTCTTCCGCTGCGGTAGCCACACTTGCAACACATGGACGAAAGAAATTTCTTTGCCTTTCCGCAACCTCCAACGTGACCACCCAACAGCCAGAACTACATTATACAAAACATAGCGCGAACAAACTGCTATGTCTGTTGTGTGTTTTCCATGGACCGGCCTGCTACTTCAACCTATGGCGTGTTTTTATGTTACTTTGCTTCTAAAAAAACATTTAGAGTGCGATACAAAAATAATGATTATCATGTGCTGAGTTTACTGAGGTCTGACGTGATACGGCACAACGGCAGGTATATGTACGAAGCAGAGTTGGCCTTGACAAGAAGTTTCATTGCAAAAATAGCCAATCACCAGACAAAATACAGTCAACTGCAATTAGGACTGACATGATCACAACCCTGGCTTCGCCCCCGCGGAAGAGTGTGTTGTCAATTGTAACTCAGAGCTTCACCCACCAGGCGATCATCAGATTTTGTCATCAGCCACCACACCATAACTACTGCGCTCTACCCGACGTTGCCACAGCACACCACTATAATTTTATTATAATATATTGTAGGGTCCGACGGATTCTGCCGGCAGAAAAATTGGCAGAATTTGGTACTTTTCCGGTATTAAAGTTTCATGCATGTTTGGTATGTGGATAAAGAAATGGAGCAGAATT